TCCCAAGCGGTCGTAATCAGGCTAGTTCCTTAGAGCAACATATAACACGGAATAACTTGCTTCGGCTTGGGCACTGTTATGCGCGTACCGCTTACCCAGGAAAGCCGTTTTGCTTGCCAGATGTAAGGTTGGCAAAAGTTGTCTGCGGAAATTGAAGTCATTTACATTTAGTATATGTGCGGTTGGCCCGTCTCATCTTTCACGCATGAATCCACGCGGCACCCAACATGTTTAGTTCAATACCTTACAGAACATGAATCGCAAGCGACACCAGTGGCGCGTTCGCTGTCGTCTCCTAGTTGGACTGCCTGTTCAACGTTTGTCAGAGGCTGAGTTATCTGCAAGGTACGGGCTGATTAAGAGACGGGGCAGTGAGAGCCGCAAGATAGCAGTCTCAGCGATTCCGCCTTACCTTTGCACAGTGTGACAAGGTAGCATCAGATCGAATGTCTGATGTACTGCTGTTGGTGATAATGATTATGACGAAAATGATGTGATTGTATCTTCCTCATTATTATCATCATCATCGTCATCATCCTCACCACCATCATCATCATTAGTGCACATTAGCTGAGGGTGAGAAACACACCTCAGCTAATGTGCCGCAATACAACAAGAGAAGAGACTAAAAATTACATTACAAAGTACACAAATTACACTACAAAAATATGATGTCAAATATTAAATTATGCGTCTTGCATGAGATTGGGATTAGAGGGGAAATCTAAAAGGGAGGGTGATGGACAAAGAAACTCACCACACAAACGCCATTGGGGCCGGATCTTCGCCATAGCAGCAAGTGTGTCCAAGCAAACGTGTTCATCGTCCTTAGGACCCCAGCCAGACAGTCGGGCTGCACCAACCGACGCCAACTTCGAAGTGAGGGTTTTCATTTCTCTCGACCAAATCATCGCTTAACCTCCGCTCTTCCTCTTCCAACCGCACGCCCGCCGCGCAAACAATGCACGTCGCAGGAGTCGGTGTGCTGACATGCGCAACATGTGGCCCAGTCATCGGAGCCTGGTGCGTGATATAATGGTGCTGAGCGGTTCACTCGCTCTTCTTGCACCAAATACGCGACGCCGAACACGTTGTTGTTCACGCGGTGCTCCCACCAGACATGAGCTAAGCTGCGAAGGCAGCGATGATCGAATGTGATGAGCCTCTTTATGTCTGTCGACCTGATGCGCCAGGTTTCACAACCATATAGGAGGGTTGAACGGACTGCAGCGTTATAAACTCTGCACTTCAAGGAGAGTGTAATGTCGCATCTGCGCCACAGGTGACGGAGATTGGAAAAAGCACATCGAGCTTTTGCTACACAGTTCGTAACCATATCTCCGATTCCACGGGTGCTAATATAGCTGCCCAGGTACTTGAATTTCTGAGCGACTTCTAGCTAATCACCAAAAACCGTTAGCGCAGGGTGGGTCCTTGCCAAGATTGGAGAAGTACTTTGCATTTCGATGGAGCAAAGCATAACCCAAAACAATTGGCACCCAGTGCTAATCGGTCCAGTGCTGCTTGGCATGTTGGGGAGCCGTCACAGATTAGGGCAATATCGTCTGCATACTCGAAGTCAAGAAGACGCTCACCAGGAAGTAGCTCCACACCTAGTTCGTGTCCAGCGAACGCTGTTTCCATGACTTCGTCAACTGCGAAGTTAAACAGGAAAGGTGACAGCGAACAACCTTGTCTCACACCTCTGGTGATACTGGAGGGTGGCGACAGTTTGCCACAAACCCTCACTCTGCCCGAACTATGTGCGTACAGCGCTTTGATAATGTTTGCGTAATTATCGGGGACACCTGTTCTCAGCCGACAGTCCCAAAGGGCACATCGATCGAGTGAGTCGAAGGCATCTTTTATGTCAAGAAACACGACAACAGTGCGTCACCAGTAAACATGGCGGTGCTCCAACAATTGACGCAGTCGTGACCTCGACGAAACCCGGCCTGCTCTTCACGAATCTGGCTTTCACGAGTGCCAGTCAGTCTGTGGAGAATGACAGACGCAAGTAATTTAGAGGCAATTGAGATCAGACTGATCTCCCTATGATTGCTGAATTCCGAATGGGAGCCTCCCTTGAAAATTGGGACAATGACGGTGTGGCTCCAGTGTGTCGGGACAGTCTCCTGCTCCCAAAGCTTCACAAGAAACTCGTATAAATCATCTACTAGAGCAGATCCCTCGAATCTGAAGAAAGCTGGGGCAATTCTATCTGCCCCTGCGATCTTACGCAATTTCAACAGCCTGATCTCACGTTCGACTTCTGCGCGTGAGGGTGGACCCAAGGAGACGACCCAGGGAGAAGGGCGTTCAATGCCCGAAGACGAAAGCACTACTTCTGCTTGGTTAAATTGCCTTGCAAAGTGTTCAGCCCAACGCTCCAAGCGTTTTGTCAGGCTGTGGATCGGCTGTCCACTCTCGCCGCGTATTGTCTCGCTAAAACCAGGTCCCTGCTGCCTGTTTCCCGTATCAGACGGAATAACCTGCGATAATTACCAACAGCAGTGGCTGTTTCCATCTCCGAGGCACGATGAGACCACCAGGCTTCGCGGTCTTTCTTCAGGCTAGCACGCAGTTTTGCCTTGTGTTTTTTGCTTGTCTCATTGCATTCGTTTCCACTGGGTATAGGTCGGCGAGCATCCATAAATTCCAGAGACTTTGTAGAAACCCGATGTCTAGCTTGGCAATTTGATTTGCCTGAAGACATGCCTGCTGATAGTAACGATTGATGAATATGCGACCAGTGATCTTCGACGGTGTTCAGTGGGCGCTTACTCAGCCCGGATGCCAGGGTAGTTTGATACGCATTCAGAACACCCGACTCCGCCGGCTAATTGGTATTAATGCGCTCAGAGCGACATTGCGGACCTCCGCCGAAACGCGCTCGCTGTTCGGCACACACGAGAGCCTTATCGGAGTCCATTCTGTTACTTCAAATCGAGCGACAGTTTTGGACACAACCTCTCCGACTGTAACTAGTCGCGGTATGATGGATTTGCGTCCATGGCTGGCACGAGACTGTTGTGCGCCAAATCACGCTTCTGCGGGTTCTGTGTCGAGTGTTTGTACTCGCGAGAAAGAGACGAGCGTCTTCACACAGCTGTAGCTATCGCTCAGCATTAATGATAACAGGAGTCTACTCTAAGTTGGCCGCCCAAATGAAGCTCATCATATGACTATTTTCCGACTTGGGAGTTTAGATCGCCAGCCAACACCACAGTATCCGTGCTTCTTTTGTAACGAAGGAGATCGTGAAGTTGCTTTTAGAAATAATCTTTCACCGAATCAGTGCTACAGTTTGTGGTGCCGGGGTCGCAATGACAAACAGATATCGTTTGTCCCTGCTCGACTTCGTAGCATGGAACGAACCAGCTGATCCAACGGCGCACATCCGACTATTGACTAGGACCCAATCGATCAGAGCAGCTTCAGCCCGGGGACTCAAAACAATACCGACGCCAGCTTGACCGGCATTTGAAGCTGCATCATCGCCAGACAGGCGCAATGAGAATGTGCCGTCAATGTCGCATGTGGGGGAACGCAGGGTAAGCACGGAGCTCGAATCAGGCGGGTTTCCGATAAACAGCAAATATCGGTCGATAGGGTCTCTAGTGTGCGGGCAACTGCTGTCTGTTGGCCAATCTGTAGCAAAGTGCGCACGTTGAGGCATGCTAGTCTTAGCGAGACTCGAGCACTCCATAGGGAAACGGATGAACTGAGGTTGTCCGCTTGTTTGATTCTGGACTTGCCGACTGGATTGGACGACGCACTGCAACTGTGTATGAGTTGAAACTAAAAGGCAAGCGACTATTGATGCTAGGTGTGGGAGGGCCAATAATTGAGGGATTGAAACTGGGGGGATAAAAGTAAAGTTGGAACGGGACGATAAGGATGAAAAGGCGTAAGAAGGGGAATAGGAATACGGGAAGGTCTGAGCAGTAGCATCCAAACCCCTATCCACCCTGCTCGATAGAGCAGATAGGGCGCCGTTGATTATCCTCTGCGACGGCCAAAGCATCAAGAAATTGTTAGAAGTAAGGTTCGTTGTATTGCCTAGGCAGAATACTGTTAAGTTGCCCAGGCCTAGACAGGAGAACGATTAGGGTTCTCAACCAAAGCCTTTGGTTCACAAACCTTACCGTAAAGCAGCGGGGTTTTGACGCTGGACTACAGAGAGCCCGTTTTATAGAGTAAGCAGCCACTCTCACTCCAACCCCCAACCTGGAGGGCCAGGAGACTGAGTTTGATTGTATTATCTGAGGCTTTATCGATCTTGTTCGTTTGTATTGCGCCACAATGGCTATTGGTGTTTCCCACATTTAGCTACTGTGTGTAACGACGAAGTTGATACTCCATCTGTAAGCGTCCCTGTCCATCGTCGATGTTGATTGTGCTGTACTTTCTTCAATATTTGACATCATCAGGAACTTTTTCTTCCGCTCATTGCATGGGTCTGAAGTGGCTCTCCTTGTGCCTATATTTACGGCATGTATGGCGGATGTAGTTGCTGAATGGACACCATCTCACAAAGTGCCCGTCTCCACATTGCCAGCAGCGCACTCCACGTGTTGTTTTAAGTCTGGAACGAGACTACAGTGCTTGATGCCACTGCATGGGGAGTAGTTATGAATCCAGGAGTTACACACTCTGTTCGAAGGTTGGTGTGTTGATTTCTTTCTCTAATATTTTACTGTCAGTCACGATATCGAAAGCTTCGTCAGAAGTTGTCTCAACAAGATGCTCACTTGCCTGGCCATTAGAAAGTCTAGGATGAACGCTCTGGCTTGTCTTGCTGGTCTGGGGTGATGCATACCCATAGCAAATATCTCCGGAGCCGTTCTCAAGGAGCGTACTGAACAACCGGCAGCTAGGTTAACTAGCTCTTCTAAAACACAAGACTGCTTGCTCAAGCCCGAAGGCACGTTTACGTTAGCTGTTTCTGCGTTGTGTGCCGACACTATTTCTGACTTCCTACTTCTTCGAACGTCATCATGCCACAGAAATTCGTTGCAGCACTGCGAAATTATAGCGTACAAGCCGGGGAAAGCTCCAGAAGCAGACGGAAAATCTATTACACAGCATTAATGATACGAGTCAAGCGAATCACGGATCGATCGCCTCAGTGAGAGTTTGAATGCTAATTTATGTGGGGTTGAACCGCAAACTTCAACTCAGAACTGAATCGTGTTGGGTAGTGTTAATTGAGAGTAATCGGCATCTTCGATATTGTTATTGGTTATGTTGCGTTTAGTAGGTTAGCTTCATTCCATTTGTCTCCCAAAGCATCACAATTCTCTGTCCGGCTGATATTTGACGTTCTCATTACCGTGCGGCGTAGAACCAGTTGGAGGCATCACAACAAACAACACACATGGGCTACGAAAGCGAAATCTTCGTCAGTATAAAATGATTTAGGAGAAGCATTTCACTTAGCCGTTACCTTCGGTTTCTTGTCCCTCAGTACTTGCACAATAATGTCACTCTGAAAAACGAACGCGAAAAATGCCTTCAAAGCGACGATACAAATTCGATCACAAGCCAAAGCAGTTTCGGTCGTTTTTCACATTGTAGCGCGTCTGAGCGTGTCATTGTGGACATCCAGCTAAGAAAACGGTCATTGTTGCCTTCGATTCCACTCACCTTCCCATTTCGTTCGCAGTTCTGTTGGACTAGTCATCTCCTCTTGCTCTCAGCAACTATTCAACTCAGGCTCGACCTGTGCTCAGCATCTGTGACAACTACATCCATCTCGCAACGAGGTTAGCCAGGTGCACCTGACGTTCAGTTCGGCTTCTTACTGGATGGATGTGCTAACCTCATTCAATCGCCTTATAAATATTTCTCTTGCATTTCAGCCCCCAGATCTATTGCGATTTTACGCATTGGACACAGGAGCCTTCGGAATCCTCGTACAGACGTATAATATACTGTTATGGCCTTCCCATTCCTAGAAAGAGCTATAAATCAGCGCCCAAAGGATTCTGGATTTCTCAAACGGATTTACCACGATCAGTACAAATGGTAAGATCACTCTTATTTTTACATTTTGCTTCAGGTCTCTTATCAAATGCGTGGCGCTCTTCGCTATTGGAACGTTTGGATTTTTTGTTATTAACGAGGCTGTAAACGCTCCATCTGGAGAAGCATAGTGCACAGTCTATAAATATATCATTCAGCATATTTCCTTGCTATTACTTGCATTTGACAGACCATGTACGGTTTGTTTACCGTGATCGCATGTGTGAAATCGACGTTTAAGAGCAGCATCTCAGTTGAGTCATCCTCCCATTAATGTAAGCTGCACTTCTTCCAGCGGCCATTTTCGAGTTTTGTTTAAGCTTCGCGATCTATCCGGAGTATGAGGGCGAGTGCTTTCCTTACAACTCGCTTTCTCGTGAATTTCCAGCACCATTACGTTAAGTGGAATAGCCGGTCTTCTTTGAAACTTTCGTTGTCGCCGTTCCCACCGCCTTTTTTGCTACTTTCATACTACGTGCTCTATTGCTATAAGGAAAGGCATCAGCACAGACACTTCGCTGCCGCGCAACCACGGCCGGTCTCACGTGGGCTAAAGATACTGCGCGGGTCGCCCTTCCCCTGCGCAGGCTCGTACCCGCGCCGTCAGATTACGAAACATGCTCGTTACCTTTAGGCTCTGTTGCTATGACACATGGTTCCATTACCGCTTCTATGTCATGGCAACGGGACGTTGTTTATGCTTATGGGTGCGTGTTGCGACCTAATATGCAGTTAAATTCGGTCAGCTAACTACTCCGTGCAACGTCCTGATTTCCTTTTTTACATAAGACATTTGGTCCCCTTCATCCACTTCGTCAAAGCAAACACAAGACATAGATTGCGATACGTCAACATTTCAATTGTTCTCCTCAGTCGCAAACACAATACAAACAGAAACACAGACACAAATATATACGTGCGAAAAATTGGCACACCAAGTAAACTGTCCAAATCACGACCAAGGCAATCTGATTGATTGCCTCAAGAGTTTCTGTGCACATAACACAGGTTGGTGAGCACTAATTAGCAACGCTTCACTGATTGCCAACATTGTCGGGTTCCTGTTACGTAACAACATCTTGAACGCATTATTGGGGTTCGCATAGTAGCCAGTTGTCAAGACGTGTTTGGCGATAGATTATGACGGACTCCGAATAGAATGAATCGGAGTCCGTCATCATCTATCGCCAAACACGTCTTGACAACTGGTCACCATGCGAACCCCAATAATGCGTTCAAGGTGTTGTTACGTAACAGGAACCCGATAATGTTGGCAATCAGTGAAGCGTTGCTAATTAGCGCTTATCAACCTGTGTTATGTGCACAGAAACTCTTAAGTAGCTTGATCAATCACCAGTGTTTAACCATCTTTGAGCAGCCATGGTAGCAGGTGCTATTTATTTGATGATGGATGCTGTTACTTCAAGCTTCAACGTGTGTTCAACGGACTCCACTAGGCCAGCAAAATCGCTCTTCAAAGTGCCCTGCGTATCTCTAAATTCTACATGGCTGATGGTGTATTGTTTCTTATTATTTCTCAGGTATTGCTCCAACCACATAAATCCTTGGTGGTCCCACGCTTCCAATAGGCTGGAACAACACTCGGTTCTCCCGTAGCGACTATACTTGAGACTCCATCAGACGCCAGTCCAGAGTGCCACAGATAATTTGGAAACTGGCTTACCGAAGGAACTTCAAGTGTACCGTCTCCAACATAAGCGTGTCCTGCTTGAGGTTCAGCAATCTTTGACATTCAGTAGTGATGGTCTGTAGCGTCATTTGCGGATCTTGCTCAAGTTTACTCAGCAGCCTGGTGCGAATCTCTGCATCCCGTGGGGAATGTAGGTCACAGATAAAAATCAGGCATTTGAACTGATCCGCCGTGATGGTTTCGATGTCGAGTTTTTCACACTTGCGATGGACGATGTCAGTGTAAGTAACGTAGTCATCAGTGTTCATCTTGGTTATCTTCAGGCACTGATATCGCTTGTTGAAAATGGATGACTGCTCTCCAAATATTTAGCCCAAGCACTGAAATATCTCATCAAAAATGCACTCTGGAGCGTCCTTTGGCAAAATAAAATTGACATACCTGTAGTGCTCTGCTGTTCCAAGTTTCCTTAACAGCAATCAGACTTTCCAATCGTCATCGTGCTCTCCAAGTTCAACGCGGAACGCATCTTTACAACGCTTGAATCAGGATTCAAATGTGAGGCCAGCATCGGGGTCGTACGAAAATTCGGTAATGCTGTTAGTAATGATGTCTTCTGATCCGGACGGCTTGGCGGTTGTAGACTGTGAACCGGTCTAGATTGAGAGTTGGCGCGTAAGAGTTTCGATCAGCCTGAGTTGGGATGCCTCAGATTGTGTTTGTTGCTGCTGCAGAATGGTTTTAATCGCGTCAGCTGATATGGACAACTTGATAAGGGTTCAACCCGTCGCCAGCTGAAGTGTTCTTCGCCTGAATTAACGGTTGATTCTCAATCGGAACTCGAGGTCGCCGGACCCCCCACCGGACAGCGAGAAGACATGATCGGATGAGCAGAGGAACAGGGATATATTAGGCAACCACACCGTTCATTATAAGAGTAAAATCAAGAATTCGTGAATGGTATTTAATGCTCTGGTAGAAAACTGTGGAAGGGCCAACTTACGGCCAATCAAGAAATGCCATCCTCGTGTTAATTGGCCGCTTCACCCGCTTGGCTATCAGTTCGTCCCAATCAGTGCGGGTGAATACTGAATACTGCTTCGAAGCAGCGAGTAAAGCTTTCTCTGTGTAGCTGCATCTTTTGTCGCTCTTGGACATTTATTTATCGTTCCGCTCTCTATATTTTGCCTCTGCAAAGTGTTTGTCAAGGAGCTTCTTAAATTCCGACACTGAGTTCGCCTCTACTATGTGCTGCGGCAGGTCATTCCAGATATTCACCACTCTGCGTTCGAAACAGAGTTGGTGAGCGACCCGCTTTAACTTCGGTACGATAAGTTTATACCGATGTCCTCGCGTGCAGCTTGGTGTGCGCAGATGAAGCAGTTGTCTCAACATGGGGTAATCACTCAGATGTAATATCCGGTGCGTGATGATGAGGTCAACCCTCAGCCGACGATAAGCTAGGGTGTACAGCCTTAGTTTCTTACACCGGTCTTCGTATGGCATATCTCGTAAGTTGGGAATCAGCCTGGTGGCTACATGCTGCATCCGTTCAAGCTCTTCTACCTCGCCCACGGTGATGGGACAATACGCGGGAGAGTCGTACTCTAGCGTTAGTCGTATTATCGAGACGAAGAGGCGAGTAGCAATCTCTTCGGACCAAGTGCTGAAGCTGCGCCTGAGCGCCCAAAGCATCCGTAGACTGTTTTGGTACAGCCTATTCGTGTTGTCAATGGACTTAAGGTCGCAGCGTGAGAGCACACCGAGGTCGCGCACGAAAGGCGCGGGATGCAACGGTTGACCAGCCATTGTGTACGTTCGGCTGTGCTCACACTTACCCAACCTCATAAATTGCGACTTGGCAGGGTTGATCGGAAGGTTAACCTCTGCAGACCATGTCGAGAGGCGGTCGAGGTCCTGCTGAAGTAAATCACAATCATTGAGTGTGCGGATTACTTTCCACACCTTCAAGTCATCTGCGAACAACGCACAAGGTGATTGGAGTAGCTGAGGCACATCGTTTACATGGATCAGAAACAATATTGGCCCCAGTACAGTGCCTTGGGTCACGCCGATGCTTGATGGATACCAGTCAGTTAGATGGTTGTCCACCTGGACCCTCCACTTTCCATCAACAAGGATATTTCTGATCCACTTGTGCAGCGAACCACCAACACCGCACATCCTCAGCCTGTCAAGGAGCACTGCATGGTTAACCTTATCAAAAGCCTTACTGAAGTTTGGATCATCTGCCACGCCTTGGTTCTTTAACGCCAGTGAGCGCCTCGGTTGTTCGCCTAGCGTATTCCTTCCTAACACTCCCATTCCTCTTCACTTCAAGTTCCATTCTTCAGTTAGATCTATGGAAGTCCCAGCAATCTATATTGACTGGGCAGACAGGCGGTCTCGATTGCTTTTTAGGCATCGCGTTGAAAACGGTTTCAATTTACATTCTAATTGTCCCCTCTGATTCATCGTTGTCAATTGACGTTGCGAGTAAGCTTGATATTGGGTCTTTGCGTATGATGCACACAATAAACGCGAAAACGTCTCTGAATTTTGTACTTCTCCGAAGTTTGACGCATGGGCATCATTGTACGTGCACCAAAGCGTGTTCGGAATCAAGACAGCCTCTTCGGATCGCTCGGCAGTCTGACTGATATGCACCATCTAAATCCGATTGCTATGAAATCAGCTTGAGTTCGAGTTAGTCTGTCGTTCGGTGGGCGTCAGACACCCCAATGCGAGCGCTTGCGCTGGAAAGCTGCACTTATACTATCGATGCTGTAGTCGACACACAGTTGATGCAAGCGATCGTCATTATCATTGCAACTGTCGTCCACTCCTTAACTGCTTTCGAAGCTGTGCTGAGTCCGAAAGATGGCAACTTTGAGAACTGCTATAAATCGTGGCGATCACGCAATCCGTACTTTTGTTCACTCAAAGAAGAGATAACAGCTCATTATAGCATTTGCATTTGACATCATCAGGACTGCAGTCGTTAGGAAGATAGGCCGGAACATTAGAAAGGCACATTGTCTTAGGCTAATCATTTTAGCTCTGGTTCATCTGCTTTCAAATTCCTTTCGAGCTTTTGATCGCGTTTGTCTCTCGTCACGCCACATATTGTCAGGCCAGTGTATTAAAGTGTTCTTGAGGCTTTCTGCTCCAGTATCAGTTAGTTATTCCTGGGTGGGTACAACCAGTTTAGAAATTTTCGACAAGCTTCAAAACAATGTAGAGCATTCCCTGTTCAACCATATGGATTTTATAATGCGCACTTTCCAAATCTGGTATGCTATACACGGCATGGCAGTAAATGATCTCCGTTTTATCAATTCGCACTGGTGGATAGGCATCAAGTTATTCTGCAATGGATAATAGTTCTTTTTATGGTTTGTATTTTTGGCATCGAGTGCTTGCGCCCTCCAAAAAAACTTGTAGCCTCAATGATGCTACTGTTCAAACTTTGTTCTCCGG